AAAAAACAAACAGTCTCAAAAATAGAACACCTGTAACAATATGTGTTTATCTTCCAGATTCTATATGCTTATACCATTATATTAATATGATCAGTAGCTCATGATTTCATGTCAGTAATTTTGTTTGTTTTATTATCAGCTGTCAATTCACAGGTCAATAAAATTGTTGATATTATCAGAGAAGTGTATATCAATACAAATGCACTACATAATGCCTTTAGCTCTGCTTCCAAAAGAATTCTACAAAAGGTATATATTKTACTWTWTKTTCCCTCAGTCTCCTGTCCTTTTTMTGTTWTTTCAGTTTTTAATTGATTTGCATATTATTTCAGAATGACATAGAGAATATCAGAGCACAGAAATCTGTATCAGGTAGGGTTCTTTACTAAATTTGTACTTTATAAGAAAAGTTCCTACCATAATGTATAATTTCTTTTGCAGAAAACATGTACTAAGTTCGACCACACATAAGTTTTAAAGTGCAGTTAATTGCACAAATATCAAACATTATTGATAAAAATAAGTGTTTTGAATACTGAATGTTTTTTTTTTTTCAATTCTGCATTACTTAGTTTCTGCACGAAACAAATTAAAAGTGATTTATTCATGACAATTGAATCTCTTAATATTGATAATAATTGTTTTCTTTACTCATAGGTTATCAAATCTCCTTCACTTTGCTAAATGCAGACCCCAAGTCTGTGCTCCCACAGTGGGACATCAAGCAAGCTACCTCAAGTAATTTATCTCTTTATTTTAACCTCTAATTATTTTGAACTGCATTTAAGTAAAGACTATACATTTCTTTTTCAGAATTCCTCAGTCCTTTTCTCCAAAAGTTTGATTTCTTGGATACKTCAGTAGATTCTCAGGTACTATGTAATAAAAACAATGATGGTAGTCATGGTGATAGGTAAAAAATAATGGTGGTAGACATGTTGATAGTAATAGTAATGAAGGTAGTCATGGTGGCATGTGAAAGCAGAGGTGGTAGTCATGGTGACAGAAATAAAAGTAGTCATGGTGATAGGTGTAAATAATGATGAAAATAATGAATAGTCATGGTAGCAGTTGAAAGAAGTGAAAGTTGTCATGGTGACAGGTGAAAGCAATGGAGGTACAGATAAAGAATTGAAGGTTTTTATGGGGATAGGTGAAAGCAGTGGAAGTAGTAATGTCAGTAGGTGAAAGAAAAGAAGTTGCCATGGTGATAGCTGAGAGCATTGGTGATAGGCATATTGATTGTTGCAATTGTTGATACCATTTCCAGGTAATCCATTACAGTAGTCTACAAATCAAACCAAAGACCAAAGATCAAATACATTACCTGAAACACCAAGACTTGCCTCATCTTATYAATCCTATTGAAGC